AGAAGATAAATTGCTAGGTCGATTGCATGGATTTGAAAAAGGACAAAAAGCAGCAAAGGTAATTAGTGTAATGTACAGAATTATAGCAATACTGTAGCAAAGTATAAAAGTTCATTTCGCCAGTTACTATTGTCATATTCTGTCATACTTAAATACACTACAGGAATTGTTACTGTCATATTCTACCATATTTAAATATACACCAATTTGTCGTAGCTAACTTTCGTCTTTATCCCAAGCTGCCATACTTACACTGAGCCTATTATCGTTACAAAACGTCCGATCTCGCTCTGAATCTGCCATACTTACACAATAACAAAAATTTTCTCCGTTAATTTAGAATTTCATTTTTCTGTCATACATACATGCATTACAACAATTCTCCTTAATATCTTCGTCCTTTTTGAATTTATTACATTTGATAATATCTTTTTTTAAAACATTTAAGCATGACATTGACTATGTCCAAAAGACAAGAAAGCTATATCTGTGCCACATGGAGTAATCGTGCTTTAAGACCCATTAATACAGATGGTCATGTGGAGTAATAGTACCTAATTTAAAAATGCCTTAGGATTCTTCAATGAAAATACTGTCAACATACTTTAGAAAGAAAACTTCTTCGGTGATTTCCAATGGATAATGGCTTTTATCTAAGTTACGCATGAGAATAAAACTACGAAATTCCATGCAACCATACCATTCAGACGTTTCCATTTGAACACGGGACAAAATACGGGTGTGCAATATTTACTTACCAACATTTAAGCAACAGCTGAATTAATCTACACCTATTTAAATAAAAAGGTACAATTTTTTGTAAGAAAGAAAGGGATAATTAAGCACTATAACATTACAATATTTAATACTACAATGTTTACATACATTGAATTGTATTAAATATATCCACTAACCACATAGAAACTATGCACCGTTTGCATATAAGAATTTATTGGTGACATTTAAATTCGACAAGAGAAAAAGGAAAGTTATTCACACATTAGAGTTTATTATGACTCCATTACTCAATGATGTTTTTATATTGAAACCAGTAGCGTAGTCTGGGCTTAACTAGTTTACGGAATTTATTTATATACCTTAAATATTACATTTAAAGAATCAATTAAGTTTATTTCGGAGCCGGAAATATAAAAACTCAGCAGTACTCTCGCCGAGACTCAGATTCCGGCCCTTCCGATTGCTAGAAGGATATGCTTTCAATTACACCAAGAAAGCACGCGTAAGGAAGGGAAAATTTCTTACTCATTTACACGTTGCCGTCTTAGATGCGGTCAAGAAGGGGAGGATGACGTTAATTACGAAAGAGAAAGTAAACGGATGTGCTAGAAGTCATAAGGAGATATTTTTTTTAAAAAAAGTTGTTTTTATATCTTGTGAAAATCAATATATGCTGAAAGAAATTTCTTGTCTGGTGTTTTTAGTCTTAATTTCGCATAAGGCTTAGTACCAGAGGTACTTTCAATTACAACTAGAATGAAGATACAGAGAGAGCTGTCTTCGTTACTGCAAGTCAGTAGTTACCAAAATGTATACATGGTAGCAAAATGGAGAAAAATTATATTGGCCGCGAAAAGTTTTGAAGTGCTTTTCATTGTATGCATTATTAAATAGTTTGATAATATCAATATGCACTTTTTGGGATCGTTAATATATAATAATTTGGATTATTAATAATTGCGATTTAAATTATAATTATCAGGTAATTTTATTAATTATATCTATTTTTTTAATTGCATTAGCCGCCCAGTCGGGATAGTGGTTAGTGACTTTGACTACCGCACGAGAGAGTCCGGGTTCGAATCCCGAAGAAGGCATAGATGTTCGTAAATGTATAGTGTCTTTGCGGTATGAGGGCACTCTAAATATACGGCGACCCGCAATCCTCTCGTGTGGTTGATAGTAGGGAAAGAGGGGTGGGAGACCCTCGGATCTTTCCCCCTCCCCCAATGTTGTTTCTCGAAACTGGGGCGGAACTAAGCTAAAGTCGGGCTGACACCTATATGGTGCTCAAGGCTCTTGCCAACGACAGGCACATTTGACTCCTTGCCACGATAAATGTCGTGGAGTTGTGCTGACCATTGTCAGACAAGTGCATTTCATTAATTACAATATTTTCATCTAGAAATTTCTTCCATATACATGTAGATCACGAGGATGAAAGTATATACATGTAGATCACGAGGATGAAAAGTTTGAGAAACGCTGCTATAAGCAAATAATCCAGTCCAATTCCAGATAAACAGCATTAATTAGCACAGTAACTGATTATGAAAAGTAGTTTAAACGCCGAATTCTGCCGTATGTTAATGATAAGAAGGATTTCTGTGTTTAATTACTACAATATGCCAAAGTATATGACGGCTATCTCACAAAGGGAAGCCATGCATTCGTGAAAAATTTTCTAAGGAAACAGGCTCATACTTACATTGCACTTGTGGAAAACCATGAAAATGCTTACACACAGTGGTAAGCTGTAGGGAGCTCATATGAGCCCTTTGTTAAATTTCCCTCTTATTTCCAAGCTCCTTGTCCTTTTTGTTTACTAATTTATTTATTCAAAGAAAACACATGTTACTCACTGAACTTTGTACGTTAGTCTGAACGACCTTTAAACTCTATGAACAATGTGTATGTGTAAGAAAGATAAAAAATATAATTTAAATTAAAAACAGCACCTTAATTTTTAATTTGAGTATTTTCACTCTATAGTTTTAAAAACAGTAATCTTTTTCTCCACTCCGTCATTTCGAAACTAATCCGTATCATATGACTAACATAACGCTTGTGATACAAATGGAACTAAATCTCATGTGGCCAATAATAATTTTACAGCAGTATTAATTATCTAGTCAAATGCACAGAGAACCGAAACTAACTCATTCTGAATTAAGATTTCATCCTGAACACAACTTACTTGCTTTCTGTACTTCGGCCTAGGTAGAGTGCTGCTTGCTGCTCTCTTCTTACTGTGAAGCTATCAAAAATATAAACGTTTCGAAATAGGCACGAATTAGAGTGCCAAGTTATTTGTAGCCGCAACATGTTTACCAAAATAAAGATGAATACTAATCTACCTCTGCTGACCAGTTTGCTCTTCATTAAGGATTAGCATTCTACGCTACCAATGTTTCTACATCATTACTTCTAATTTTGCATCATTACATATGCATACATATATATATAAATTACATACATGTGTAACTTAAAAATGTCTAATTCATTTAAAACTTAACTAACCATTTATATTGATATAACATGTATATACATATGTTAATGAACATTGCGTTTTTATGATATTTTCTTTGATATTTCACCCATTGTTCCGTATATATGTTCCATATTTTGTCCCATTTATATATATGTATATAATTTAATGATTTCATATGTAACTAGTAAGTACATAATCAAAAATTGCATCAATAATGTATTTTTTAGTATTATTAACTTTTATCCTTAAGAATTTTCTTCAATCTAGTTTGTGTTATTTTATTCACATGTCCTGAATAAAAACAATTTAATGTTTTCACAGTATTAGAAAATTAATCAAAAAGCAGCGACCAGCAGTGTATTTTTAATTCGTATATCTGTGCTTAGACGCGAAAATATTGAAATCTATTTCAGTTAAGAATATTTTCAGATACTCAAATACTTCGTATTCATATAGCATAGCATTCAAAACAGAAAACTCAGTATTTACAATACAAATTCCAAACAAATATATCTCTTTCTGCCGTCCAAGCGGTATATTAACAAATATATCTCTTTCTGCCGCCAAAGCGGTATAGTGGTTAGAGTCGCTGACTGCCGTGCCGAAAGGCCCGGGTTTGAATCCCGGAGAAGACAGGGATGTTTCTAAATATCGGTGCGGCATGGCGGCACTCTAAATATGCAGCGAGTCGAAAGCCCTCTCGTGTGGTTTGGTGGAAGAAGAAGGCCCGCCCCCCCCCCGAATTCTCTCCAACAAAATTGGGAGGCGGAACTGAACAAAATCGCACTGTCACATGTTAAGTGCCCAAGCCTGTTGCCAAAGGCAGGCGCAATCTAGCGCTCCTTGCCACGAGGAATTTCGTGCGCTTGGGCTGACTACGTCAGACGAGTGAGCATAAGCAACAACAACATATATGTCGTCCTATAATATAAAGTTTTAAACTTTAAATAAATAATAATATAAAGTTTACTTTCAATAATTTTTCATAGTACAAAGTTGCATTCATTCAAAGATTTCAATTTTCCTAAACTTTTCTTTGCGTAAAACAGAATGCAGATAAGTTGGATTTTTAATCAGCCTCCATATCTTTCCACAAATCCGACGGACAGAATCTACTCTTACTCTAGCGTTCCCGTTTTTTTCTCTTTCGTAATTTACAACTTGACCGCATTCATTTACATTTTAAGAATAATAGTAAATATAATGAAATATGGGAATTACATTTTCAGTAATATTCAGGAATCAAGTTGCTTTCTCTTGTATGGTTATCTTTCAGGATTTCCTTTTTTTTATTATTATGATTTCTAAAATAAAGTTCTTAAGCCCCGATTAAATTTAAATTTCATTCATTGTAAAACATTTGTAGTCATTATGTTCCCTCTGCTTTTATTTCAGAATGTATTTTAATGCTTTTGCTTATTCCAACTGGATAGCTGGAATTTCATAGCTGGAAAGCCTTTGCTTATTCCAGTTATGCGCCTCAAAAGATTCCTAAAATTAAATCCTTTCTTTTATTTCACAGAGGCGCGACACATAACGCTTAATGCAGCTGATAGCGATGCATGTAAAATTCAAATGTATGTTTTGCTTTACGAATCTTGATTTTCATAATATTTTGTAACTGAAAAAAATAATAAATAATACTATACAAGTAACGGAAGTAATTCAAACTAAATTAATAATAAATCATAAAACAAACAATCTATTCATGCACATTACAAATAAAAAGTGTTCAGTTTGTATGGAAAAAAATTATCAAATAAAACCCATGTAGCTAAACAGAACTATTTTATTCCATGCTTGTTTCTGATAAAATGGAAAAGAAAATAAACAAAAAATCTTCTAGAAAATATAAGAATATGCTATTCATTCCACTAGGCAGCAACTGGTCACCAAAAGCTGAAATGCAGTAAAAATAAATAAATAAAATTTTATACATAAAAGAATAACTTGTAGTAAACAAAGAAGTGCAAATTATATTTGTTGATTAATTGATGTTTAAAATACATAAAAAAAGCTTTTAATTGAAATCCAACAAAGCACTTAGGTTTTTTTTTTTTTTTTTTTTTTTTTTTTTTTTGACCAGTATTGTTTTCTCTGCAACATACAGAGATACAGAGACACCTTCAACTTTTTATTTCTTTCACATATATAAACTTTAAAAGCCAAGTTTTTAACTTTTCTCCTTAAGAGAAATGAACTCAGGAAGATGAATTACTTTGCATGGTTCCATGTTCTATCACAACCTATAGGTTAGTATCAAGATAAATTTAAATTCATTATGGAACGTTTATCTAAGTAAACCTTTTAAACATTAATCTAATAAGATTTCACTTGCTATATACTTGTGATAACACAAAAGGTACCGGGTTATATATATAAAGAAACCGTTTTTACAAATTTTGATATAAAGTACAGTTTAGAAATGCATAGCATACAGCTGTCTTACTGTTGCAAAATTATGCTACACAGACTAAAACTTAAAAAGCAATGTAAAACTTATTTTATTTTGCAAAAGATGCCATTTATAAAAATACAAATTGTTTTTATAAGCAGGATGTTTCTTACTAAAAAAAGAAAGTTTACCTAACGAAATTGTCGTTCCAGTTTCTCATTCGAGTCGCCTACATACCTCAGCCGCTAAACAATAGCTTATTATTCATCTTCCCAGCTATTTGAACCTTAACAGTATTCAATCTCTCACTTAGTAATAACTGGAATGTTTTCCAGGCTCAGTTTCTATGCTTATAATCTCAAACTTCATTTCAAAATGCTAATATATTTGTACTGAACCATTAGAATATCAATAAACTGAAAACTACGGCTTCACTCTATATCATAACTCTTTCTCCGCAATTTTCTACTGCTGTAACTAACTACTCTGCCTGATTAATAACGTTCTGGTTCATACTGAAGAACACCATCTTTGATTGTTTAAATTATTTTAGACTATATTTCATAAAACATATTTGATAACGTTCTAGTTTATATATTGAAGAACACCAACCTTGATTATTTTAATTATTTTAAACTATATTTTATTGCATTTCATAAAACATCTTTGATTTTCTTCTTTGTCTTCTTTAATTTTAAGTTTTATCATACTTTGAATAACATTTTACTGCACCAAAAAATATTAAATGCTTTAAATTAATCATTTCATCAACTGGTCTAGTAGATTTTGATATTTCTAATTGCAAATATAAACCAATTTATTAATTGCAATTATAAACCAATTTATTAATTTCTAATTATATGCTTTCCTGAATAAGCCAAGGTAACAAAATTCTGAAATTGAAATTTTACAAATTTACTTGGAAGATTAAAAAAAAAAAAACAGTTTTTATAAAATGTTTCCTTTAGCTTCAATAAAACAAAAAGTCATAAATTTTTATACTATATTTATTGCAAATGATTTTATGTGCAGTCTCATAAGCGATTAATGAGTAAATTCACCATTTTAATTTTAGCCTCGGTTCAGGAAAAGTACAACAGAAATGTTCAAATTAATTTTTGTGCCATAAATTTACTCCACATTTCCTGTAAATGTATATCCATATAAATTAGAAGGATTTAAGATTAGACCCTCTGCATTAATTAAAGACCTCTAATCTGTCCTTTAATTTATAATCCCCTGTGATAACTGATGAAGTAACTATTGATCACAACTATTGAATAGAAAGATATTTTGATGTAACAGTTAATACAAAAAGATTTTGTTTCAAATGGGTGGTTGAACTCGAAAAACTGGATTTATCGATGTTACGAAAATAATTCTAGTGGAATGTGTAATCTTTTTCTAATTCTACAAAGCGTATTTCTTTCTACTATGTGGTTGGAAACATAACGCTCCTTAAGATTAGTGATAAAGTCCCTTTCAGCAAATTGTAAACTTTATTCAGTTTTCTTAGAGATAAATATAAAATTTTTGCTTCCATCGGAGATTCAACCTGAATGCGTCACCTTGAAGACATTGAATGCTCTATCAGTAAAACTGCCAGTACAGCTTAGAACCGATACTCATCCTGAGATTCAATGAGTAGTATTTTTTCAATAATACTTATGTTTACATCAAGTTCGTCAAAAATTGAGTTTTGCTTCACATTTCGATTTAAAGCATAACTAAAAGAAGGTTTGAGTAACCTCCTCCCTCATTTGATCCACTGACAACATTTACCAATTAACTTTACACTAAAAAATGTGCTTCTAGTAATTTACGTTAAGAATTATTAAATACAATAAAGGCTAAATGATATCATTACCTCTTCTTATGGCGTATAATTCGTAAGTGCAATAATTTGCACAGCCCAATGCATCGAAATGTACCCTGAAAATGGCCCAGCGCTATAACAAAAAATATTTAGTGTAATGTTTTCTCTACTAAGTCAACAATAATGTAAAAGCTTACCATAGTTATTTGAAATAAAAAATTCAAAAAATTTTTAAAAAAATCCACGTGCAACTGGTAGCATTTCGAGTTACCTATTTCATATTCGTTTACTGAATAATAAAAATATAATATTATACTATAAAACCTATATAAATCGTTTACTGAATAACAAAAATATAGTATTATACTATAAAATCTATCTAAAATGAAATATATACTCATCGAAAAATCCAAGAATGCTGAAGAAATACAAAACATTTGTACATTAGTAAAAGCACACAGTAATAACCCTGGGTTATGAAGAAATTTATCTAACGTAGGCTCTTATTTTACCATATTACCTTATTTGTTATAAATCGAACACATGCGGGAAATATTCAGACAAATCTCGATGCAAAACAGCTCTTCTAGGCTAATTTTATCATCCGCACTGCTAATTAAACGAAATAATTTGTACACATTGCCAAAGGAAGTGAAAATAATAAGATTTCGAAGGATGTGTCAGTAAGAGTTCATCTTTATCTTCTGTAACAGATAAATAACACAAATCCAAGATTGTCTTAAAAAAAATACCAAACTACGTAACAGTCTGCGTAGACCCATTCAGTAGCACATAAAATTGTCTTTGTTTAACCTAGCAGAATTTAGAATTTGCAATTTCCTGTTAAGTTTTGTGTATAACAAAAAGACTGATTAAACACAAATTTAAAATTGTAGGAATTGAAACGTTTAAAGAATAAACATACATTGTTCTCTTTTTCCTTTATTTTTTTATTTGTCTTATTTTTTAATGAATGTCTGTTTCAAATACGCTAGCTAGACGAAACTATCTGTTGCTGTGAAGAGTCGATTACTTTAGCAGAGAAGACGACGTTTCCACTTGTGACATCGTAATGCCCGTATGATGAATATTAATGACATTACGCTTGTCATACTTCCTCAACTTAGTTTGGTTTTCTGCTGTACGATCACTTTAACGTTGGTTTCATTAGATGAATTGTATCCTAGACAGATAATTGGTTGGTTAACTGATTACGATAAAATTCTCTACCTAAGGGAGGGAATGCCTTTTTTTAAGAGAAATGGTACCTTATGCACTTGGCGTTGATGGACACTTAGATGAGGGAAAGAGGAATACGTCACAGCGCATTCGTCATCATTCCAGCAGCATATAACTGTCTAATATTTAATGCAATTTCGTTAACCAGTTTTATTGATAAGTTTTTGTTGTTATTAGTGTGTTCTTTTTCTCAGGTTAAAAACTGATTCTCATTTAAAAACAATTTACTTTTAAGTACGTACATTCGCATTAAAAACGACATCTTTTAAGTAAGCTTTTTAGAAGCTAGTTGCGATTTTTTTTAATTATTTCCGTTTAATTTCTGGAAAAAGTTGCTCCTACAGAAAGTGGTAATATGCATAGCTTCTTCGTATCATTGGGTTTTATCTCTCTTCCAAAAACTTTTTTTTTTTTTTTTTTTTTTACACCAAACACTAGACACAGAAATATGCTACCTATAAATAATTATTTGTTGAGGTAACAGTTTTTTGAGGTAATTTTAATTTCCAGCTGTCATTTAACATAATTTTAAAGCTTGGATAAAAACGTAATTATCGCACCTCTCTAAAAACCAAAGCAATAAATCTTATTTAGAATCTAGATAATTTCATTAGAGTTAAAGGAATGTAGTGATTTTAATTCAAATACCTAAAAATAGGTTATTTTTTCTCGGAAATGGTATCTTATTTCCTTAAAATTTAATTTAGGCAGAGCACACAAAAACAATTTGTCAAAACTCCATTTGAATTCTCATAGAGAACATCCCGAGAGATGGAATCGGACTGTCTCTAACTCATCCCTGGCTCTACCGTAATCTTGCAACGGGACTGTTGGATAGCCAAGTTTTTAAGTGCCTCGTTTCGATAAAGAAACTGCAAACACGCATTCATGTCTTCTCCAGGATCCGAACCCAAAAGCAATCAGCCTCCATTAAGCACCATACCATCCCACACGCCTTTCTTTAGTTTTTGCCTCAGTGTTCTCTTTTGACTGATGTCTTAACTACCTAATATACTCTTAAATACGCGCATTAATAAATATATATCTTGGAAACGTCGTAAAATCTTACGATTCGTAATCCATATTTGATTAAAGATTAAATATTGAAAAAGAGACTTGCCGATTATTTAACACAGAGCAGAATGGTTAACACTTCAGTTTAATAGCAGAAGCTTTGAATTTTGGAGATAGGTCGAAGGTATTTTAAGGACAAGATACTAGGGTTTGGTTTCCGTAAGAGCAGATGTAGTACTTACCTTGAGCCACCAATTTTTAGAACTGCTTTCAAATGCTTCTGTAATATTTAAAACATGTCAAATTTTATGTATATTTTCAGTTCTAGATTTTATAAAATTGGAAGCAGGAAAAGAAATGAAATATTCGCAAGGTATTTTTTCCAGTTTCTTTCAATTTGCCTTCCCTCACCCAGTTCCCAGTTTAAGGCAGACAGCCCATGAGTGCTTTGCCTTAAGAACTTTAACTTTCCAGCAAAAAATAAAATTCAGGTTTAAAATCTATAAACTTATATTCATTCAGCATAAATTGAGATAATAAAACCAGAATAAATTGAGATAATAAAATCAAAATACGATAAAAAAATGTCTGTTTGTCAGTTTAAATAATTTTAAGTGGAAAAATATTGAATTATTAAGATATTTCAAGAGAGAAGAGAAACACGCTAAAGTAAAATATAAAACTAGGCAAAGCAACAACCTTGTGTTTGGCGCAGATTTTAGTAAATTCTGATTAAAACCTAGACCAAACACAAGGTTGTTGCTTTGCCTAATTTTATGTGTTAAGATATTTCATGAAATACTTGACTTGATAATAATACTTCATGAAATACTTACATTAAGTGCCCTCAATGATATCTACTAGGCTGGAAAAAAGAATTAAAGAGTGGAGCCTCCATTTTTACAATTCATTGAATCATTATTGAATTGAAACATTGAATAATACTGAATTTAGAAAAGAAGAAAATATGCTTGTTTTCATGGAATGCCGTAAAATATAACCTTTATTAGGTTAAATTATTGACAATATATATCGATGCATTCAACTTGCAACTCTTCTTCTAATCAAAAATAAATATCAAAGCGATAAGATTCATAACAAACTGCTGCTTAAAATCTCATTAATCGAACATGTACTTTGCAAATGCACTATAGAGGTTTTTTATTAACCCCCGATTTTTTAAGCATATCAGCGATTTTAAATATGGCTATCAATTTATTTCACATCCAAACAAATCAAATTTGCACGAATAAGAACAATTTTTTAAACAGTTATAAAGCCTAAAAGGAGCTGAGAGTTATAAATAATCACAAAATAAATAGAAATCTTTAGCCCCTCTTTCCTTTCTCTTCTCTCTAGAAATCTTGATTTTTAAACATTAATTTTAAAAAATTCGTTGCAGGAATGAATGAATCTGGGGGAGAAAGAACATTCATTATTAAAGATCTAGCATTTTTTTTTCAAGTTCTTAAATGTTTGCAAGTATCCTCATTACTATTTTCCCCACAGACATCTCATCCCTCCCTTTTTCCACCATCCGGATCTAATTCGGCTCAGTAGACGCCAATTTAAAAAATTTTCATCTGAATTTAATTGAGAAAAAATATTCGTAATAAACAAATTCAACGCTTACTGTTAAATATTTAAAGCAGTTTTGATTTTCAAAATATGCATTTTTTGCGGGCCAAAATTTAAGAAGTAAAAAGACTAGCAAAACTACTACATGTCAAGCTTTGTATTTTGTTCTATGAAAGCAGAGATTTTTGTTTGTTTGTTTTTATCAAAACATTAGTTTTAATCAGTTAACAGCACTTCTCAAAACGAATTTAAACTAAGAAGAATAACTGAATGCTAAAGTTCCAAAAAACTGTCTGGTAAGTGCAAGAATATTGAATAATTGTACAGACCTTAACTCTTTCGGAAAAAAGTGTGAGGAAGTAGTCAAAAACGTAGCAGCGAACAACTGCTATTGCGTAGATAACTTTTTTTTTTTTTTCCTCCTTTTTTTTCGCTCAACTTTTGTGCACTTGAGTTAGCGTCATATTTTCTAAAAATAGTTTAAATTATTAAAATTCAAATTAAGATTCCATTAAATATCTCCGTATGATTTTTTAAAACAGCCTATAAATTTGCAGAGATTTTCACGTTTAGAACCCCGTTTATCACGTTTATTACATTCTAATTCATAAGAACTATGCCACGTTTCACAATTTTTTGGAATTGGGGAGGGGCAAAAACCTATGAACCATGCAAAGAGAGAATTTAGTGTACGTGATAATTACGTCAAATAAGATATAAACATAAAAATGGACAGATCTCGATTTTCAGTCCTTATTGATTCATTTGTTCAACTATTAGGAGAAGCTAGCCATCTTGAAATCAGTGCTATGGAGTAGCGGGGTAGGACTGTAAGTTAATCGGGTAGCGGGGTAGTGACTTTAATCTTATATTTAACCGGATAAGCTAACTAAGTTTGAAAATATTACTTGATTTTGCTGCGAAATACATTTTATTTCAAAAAGATCTTATTGCTACTTAGCAAAGGTGATATTAATTATACACAAAAGGTATCTTATTCTAGTCTAAGTAAATGTTAAATAATCTTAAAACACTAACTATAAAATAATTAAAACACAGACGAAATATTTCCATGGTAGTACCCTTTCATGGTATTAATTTATTTTTAAGAGTATTTAATAACGAAGCCGTTCAAGAAATAATGCGAACAATGAAAAAAATCAACTGAATTTTCATAAGTTTTTAACACTACGGGCAACACAAAATTACTTCGTTACCCTTTAACTTATTTTTACGTTTCACTATTAAAAAGCGAAATAATAATTTAAAAACAGCATAAAATTCTGAAATTCGAAAAATTCCAGTAAGATGAAAGAATTCGTCTTTTAAAACTTCATGAAAAGAAATATTATAAAAAAAAAGGGGGAGCTGTAAAATGTAATATTAATTCATTTCGCTGTCTACTCACTACAGTCTACAAATTTCAGAACTGCATCTGCAATTAAGATTCACTATATAAAAAACTTTAATATTAACATGAAGGGTTAAATAGATACATTTATACTAATATTAAACAAAAAATTTTTATAAAAAAAATAGGCCATCCTTTATGACCGAAAAGTTTGAGGTCTCATAATTTTCATGGAATTAATATTTTGAAAGAAGCCACACAAGTAAATTTGTGCGCTCAAATTTCGTTTACTCTGTAGCCATTATAAGAAAATTTAAGAACTCAGACTCACCCTAAAGGCAGCAGATATCCATTATATATACACAAAAAAGAAGAGTTTTAAAGCGCTTAATATTTTTAGACTGGAAAATGCTAAAACGTCCTTCTAAATGTTTATCTTATTATCATATACAATTAGTAATAGCATCCTTTTAGACGTTATTATATTTTACATATTTTATAGTTAATGTTTTATATTAATGTAATATCGGTATTAATTTAAATAACTTATAATGCAAATTATTGCTTTCGTGCCCGCGTAGTTTTTGACATGTGCGTCTTTTGGAGGGAATTTACAGTCATTATATTTTTCTATATCATTTCAGTTATTTCAATGTCAAATATTTGAGATTTATTCATATTTCAGCACGTTGTGAAATATCTTTCATTAAGAGTATGACTAACTTTTCTCTTTAATACTGCGTCACATCTCCATTTCTCCGACACGGATTATACGGTCACGTACAAGTTAGAAGTCCGATTCAAGTTTTCCTTATTCCGATTAACGTTTTTTCTCATTTTGGTTAAAGTTTCATAAATGCTCAAATGTGTTCGGGGAATTATTCATTCATTCATATTTTAGGTTATAACAAAAGCGTTAATTTTCAGTCAGTGCTTAAAAAAAAAAAAAGCACTTTTATGGAATATAAATGTTTTATGAGTTATCTGTTTCAAAACTTTTGCGGAAATTATTTCAGCAGTTGATGAACGTAAGCTTTAAATACTATATTGAAACTCAAAGGCGCGAACGGAATTCGAATTTTTCTCCGTCGCCTACCGCTAAGACCAATTATATAAAATTTTAAACTCTTTCAAATGAATTTTATTTGAAAAAGTTTTATAATGATGACCATGTGAATGCGAACTTCATCCCTAGTGAGTTAAATGCTTTAAACAACCGAAATAGTTCTTATACTAACATTAGTTAAGTAAAACAATAATGGTACGAACGACTCAAAGCAGTTTAATTTTTACTACTTACCTGTTGAGTGTATTTACCCCAGCTACATGAGATTAGGAGCGCTGCTGGGCTTTCGCTACCCTAAATAAAAGTGTCTATCTGAGTTTGAGAACTGGGTCTTTATATTTTGTGTTGCGCTGGCAGCGCCAATCTTCCGTTTTGTACGGCTACCATAGTGGAATGATTTCCATTCCGCAAGCAGGAATTTGGCGATGAAACTTTTGAAAGCTTTTGCAATTTGCGCGATGAGATCCGTATCCCTTGCAAAAAAGCCGTGAATTTATCTCACAGAGAAGTGTGATTAGGATAAGCAGACAAATAGAAAAAATTATTGTCCTCCTCTTCTTTTTCGGAGAAGGGGGATTATAATGCTTAATTACATTATTGTCTTGGAATACGATTATACCGTGTACCACATCATTTTTTACGGTATAGTTTAAAAAGTGTTATTTTCAAAACGCAAATATTGTTAGCCAATAACATTTGACATTTTGCCTGTTAGATTGTCAGTTCTGGAGAGAAAAAGCTGATTCTTATAGATATTTCCCCGTTGATTTCAAATCTAACAGTAAATGATTTCCATAGCGCAGAGTATTAAAGGATAAATTTTATCTTACAAAATATAAATAAATAAATAAAAGAAAATCTGAAAGGATTCACTTCTGCATACATTCACTTCTGAATACAACTTTTTATGTAATGAATCATAAATGGCAATAATACTAGGTGGCAAGGTCCTTTTAAGTGATATGGAGAAAGCATGAAGATCGAGACTAATAGCATCTCCGGTGCTAATAAATTAATAAAAACGGAATAAATAAGTGTGAGTGATAAAAAATCGGATTTCCTTTTTTGCGATTAGCACACAAATATAGTTAGGATTCAGCGTAATTTATAACATTTAACAAATCACTGCTGACTTGTGTAATTAGCATTTTTTCTGTGTTTGCTTCACGATTAAGAAAAATACCACTCTTGTTGCAATGGGAACAAGGGAAAATTGATTATCATACCTAAAGCTCTCGGGTTCGAATACGTGTTAAGGCATGAAGGTTTCTGATATCTCCCTCCTTCACCCAGGAACAATATTAATGATCTAAAAAAAGACTATCGTCTAATTGATATTTTAAAAAATGAAATAAATGATATTTTAGTAATGATATTTAACATAGGTTTTAATTCGTATCAAGGACGTTGCTTTCGGTTAAAATTCTAAATCGCCTAAATTTGAAGAGAAATAATTATCACAATTCGACTTATTTGCGCCGAACTGCGCAAAACTAGCAATATTATGATTTTATAAACTGCAGATTTAAAATTATTAAAAAACACAAACTTCAGACTTAAAATGCAACTGAACTTCGAGGTACGACAAAATTAAAGTGATAAACGAACATTTTTTAGTTCAGTAATATTGTTTCTTTAATTCATTATGGAAGCCATTTAAGCCTTTATAGCATAAGGGGAGATGACAGGGGATTTGCTAAGGAAAACTGTTCACCGGCCACTGAACAGTAAAATCGCTGAATGCTGGCAATTCGATCTGTTTTTGATCTGCATGGAGTTTTCGCTTGTCCTCCCCCACATTTAACATGAATGCGAACCAGTTTTCCTTAAAAAGATAATCTATGAAGGCATTCTTTCCCTTAGGCTGAAAGCTCTCGCATGCTGTAACATAGTCCAAACAGTTCTTAGAAAAACTGGCTCCAGTTCGTATTGCATGCAGTGTTGAAAGAAATTTTTTAGCTTAAGTAGCAGGAGCAAAATGGAATGTTATTACATAATTTCAGAGGTTACGTAATTCTTTTGTGCCGTTATAAGTACGTAAACTCACTTGACGTTTGACGTACAACAAATGCGATCTTCATATGTTCCGTTAAGTTATGGAACGTAATTCGATTTTTGGTCGTTTCACTACGTATTTTCATTTTGACGAAACTCTTAAAACTATAGTGCTAATTTTCCATTGTTTAAATCTCCATTATTTCTTTTTATTAATTATCAGTTAATTTATGACATTTTTTTGACATAATTCGTTCATATCCATTATTAGGTGTTTTCTCATGTTTCGATCGTTAATACTGTTGAACTGACTTTTGAGTTGACAGTTTATTTTTTTAATGTGCCCTCAGTACCCATTTACATAGATTGCAATAAGCTTTTGATATACTTGCTTTCATTGTTTCTAACTAATTCTTAGCATGGGTATATTACGCTAAGCATATTATTTTGTTGAATGTTTTCGCGTTACTCATGAAAACTGAGAGCACATGCTCTGAGTGGCTGCAATATCAGATTTTACCTATGGGAAATAGCTTAGCTCTGATCTTCTTACCCTATGTTGTACCCTGGGCAACGCTCTCGATGATGAGACGGCTAAATAACTGACATGTTGCCATTTATGAGGAATATATTAAGTTGTAAGTGTCTGGCTATTTGTTTTAAAATAATAATACTTTTTTTTTTTTTTTTAAAGCGAAGATATTCAGCAAAATGGCGCTTAAAAATCATCTGTAGATATACGTACATTTGGACAAAGCCAGTCAGAAATTACTGAGTATGTTAAGAACCATATTAATTCGATATACAAAATGGGCGATGTTTAATTCAAATAAAGTAATTCAAGAATTAAAACTTTTTTATCATATGTTTGCGTCAGGAAAATACTGCTTGAAATGGCATTAGCATGAAGTTATGCGGTTCTGGTGGCGAATTAGATGGCGTATGTCTATATTAAATTTAATGAAATGTTATTTTTGCCTGATATTTTTCTTTCAGCAAAAGAAATATTAATGGAATCATTTAACATTGATAGTTTAATAAAAACAAGAACTTAGAGATATATTAAACAAATTTAGTAAATGCTTTAAAATATGGGGTAAAAATGCAAAGTGGGTAGCAGTTTAGTTTTGCTTTCGAATAAAAAAAAAATTGTTATTTTCTTTAAGGTACTTACACTTTAAAGTACTCTCACTTTTCTTTGACGTACTTTTAAGTACTTATAACAGCGGATTTCTTCTGTCGATGGACAGGCACCCAATCAAACTGTGAAAGTGCAATTTATTTCGCATTTAAATATTCTTTAAAAGAGATTTAGAGTATGACCATCGACACTTGGGAATAATGTTTAATTAGAGTTTCTCGATGGGGACGGGGGGAGAAAATGGTAATTTCGGCATCATTAGAAAAGAAGAGTCTAACTCATCAAACATTTCGAATTAAACAAATTCACCTTATCGATGTAGGTTTATATTGATTTTTAATAAAATTCATGAAAGGAAACATTAATTCCATTTCTCGAAAATTTTTAACTACCGAAGTTCAAATATGCTATTACATGAAGTTTAAAGGGTTGGATACCTGCGTGAGGGACTTTTAAGGAAAACTGAAAACTGTCTTGAATTTTCATGTTACATATAAAAAAAAAACCACGAAAGCACATTTGCGGCATATCCGTTCACAGGGATTTGAATCCGGCGTAGACTTCCAGCGTTCAGCGGTTTTATCTTGGAGGGCGAACTTCTCTCGTGCATGTTTATTAAATGAAAACACTTCGTGGTTTCTCTCAGCCTCGTACTTATTGAAATAGGCTTATTTCCAGGGCCGTTTTATCAGATTTATGACCACCGGGCTGCCGTAGTGTTTAGGAGCCCTTATCAACACAACTTTAGTTTTAAACTTGCCAGAAATGGGCCCAATATAATCACAGGAATCCCGAGCAGTGTGCTTGGTATTCTGAAACTGCTTGTTTCTGGGATATATAGTTTAAAAGTAATTTTCTCTTCTAAATAAAAAAAAAAAAAAAAAAAATTACACTTAGATGTGAAACTTTTAAATTAGTGAAAAATGTAAAATATTGCAGACAAAATAGACTTTTATGAAAGTTCACTTTTTTGAAGAATTTTGGTTTGGAGAGCTATCCTGCAATCATTTCTTGGCGTACATAACTTTGTTCATTTGGCGAGGAAACATATCAGTGATGTTGCTGGCAACCCGGCGCATGCGCCCTACGGATTAATGTTAGTAGGCGGCTGCAGCGATGGTGCGGAATACACATCGTGAGTGATGTACATTTTTACTGGAACCGCATATGTGTAATATATATTTATGTAATATTATTTATCATCGCTTTTGGACCATTTAATGCTTTCAATTTTTTTTTTTACTGAAGCGGTTGAATTTGACGAAATCTGAGTGAATTTACTGGCGTGAATTTCTATTTAGTGATTATTTCCTGTAGTTAGGGTTAAATAAGAAGCCGAATGAGAAATTGTAATAATTGTGCCTCACTTTAGTTGTAGAACTATGAAGTAGTGTAATATCGTGACGATTTCCTATAACGTGTCTTTTACTGCAGGACGCAGTTCTGAATTAATGTGACTTAGCTGCAGTCATAATTCAAAACATAATTTATTTTGTTCTCTTTGAATGCAAAACTGTACCTGAAACAATTTTTATTTCTTGCTGATCGTCTTTTTACTGTTTAATATGGATAACGAACAAAAGTCTGCCTTATCTGGAACAAAATCCACCGATACTATTATAGACTTGAAAACGACTAGTGACATTGGCAGCATTTCACATGGTAAGTCAGATGAAGGTTTGTTTTGTAAAGGAAATCTCATAATTAAATCTTTTATGTTTTAATGTTTTCATTTGCTCTTTAATTTTCTGGTTATATTATAATGACCTGAAAATATGTATTGGTACGTGTATGTTATTTTATGTATAAAGAAAGTATTTCAAATAATGTATATCAGCATCGCATAATCACGTTTTAACCAGTTTTTAAATTATACATCCATGTGCAAAATGTATTTCAGAAAAAGTAGTAATTGTTCTTTCATTTTTTCTTTCTTTCCAGTGACTAAGTGCAGCTCATTAAATACATATTTACACTATTTAGTTCAAGTGCAGCGTATAAGTTCATAGCGTGCAGCGTATAAGACTTCGTGAAGAATATCTTTTAGTTCTTTGGTTTCAGTTTCTGGATACATTGGGCGAGCTTATTACATACCAGGCTTTAATGTTATTTTAAATCCAGTTAAATTAGTTTTCAAGCACATAGACGTTATCAGAGAATTCTAGTGTGTTATACTCAAATTTTTCTTTGGTGACTCGTGTAATCAAATCCTAACATATTAGTTTGCATAAACTGCTCTGAGCTAGCAAAGCATTAAAAAGAAAGTTGTCTTATTTATTTGTCTTCAAACAAAAGAAAGAAAGCAACAACTATTTTTTCATCAGTTTTGGTGTCAGCTTCTTTTTATTCTATATTTCTTTGAACAGCAGGTTTTAATGTTGTAAGCTTTACACATTCTGATAGGATCATTTTCACATCAGGTTTAGAAATGAGAGCAATTAATAGTTATTTAATCATGCTTCCATTAAGTGTGCATCATTCCTTGTACTTTTTAGGAGAATTCAAGGAATGATGCAAGTGAAATAAATTATTGCTTTAACAAACCTTCATTTAGATTACTCCTTCGTACTGCCTCTTTTTCAATCCTTTTTCCCACATAAACAATCTTATGATGCAAGATGCAGTAAAGATACATTTTTATACAGATGACAGTTGTCTAAGTTTGGAACTGAAGCATTATTAAAATCAGGTATAAAGAAATTGTGACATCTGTTTTATGTATCTGTGTTGCAGGCCATTGTTATTCATCAACTGGGCTTGTTAAGTTACTGCATCCTGTATGACTTGATTTCAGGCAAGTACAGTTCCATGCCTATAATGTATTAATTTTTTACAGATCAAATAAAAAAGATGTGTCTATTTGTAATGTTATAGAAAATGTTAGTCACATTTTCTTAAGTGTATACGAGCCAGTTTCCCTTAGAAAGTCCTCCACGAAGGCATCCCTCCTCTTAGGCAGATAGCCCTCGAGGCTTTGCCATAATTACACACACATTTTCTTAATAAATTGTTTTTCCTATATTAGTCACACAAGGCTGTGACTTGCGTTCACAGCTAATTTCACAGCTCTAAAAATAAGGCTACTAGTTCCTTTGTAGTACTTTTAAGTTGTTCTGTTTGCTAAAATTGTCTGCAAATTTGCAGTCTCTAAACTTTCGTTGCTGTTGTTTTGGAGATTAAGCTGAAGCATGTGTAGCAAAACAAGAAATGTCAGTTTGTTGTTTGTGTTCTTAAAGAAGTGTGGAAAACACTTGTATATGTTAAACGTTCATTTCATTTTATGTATTATTTGTCTCCTGTATTCATAACTTTCAGGAATAATCATTTTAAATTGCATGATTATGGAAAAATATATTAAAAATTATAATAAATATGGAAAAATATATTAAAAATTGGAAGTGCAAATGTTTTGCTTTCCACACCTGAAGAACCCTGTAACAAGTTTGTATATCCAAAGTGTACTGAATAGAGTATGCTGTGTAATTTTGTGCTTTACAACCAAATCTTAAAAGTCTAATCCAATCAAATCTGGATTTAACAAATTGTTGGTATTGGTTATAGAACTTGTTAAATTAGGAGCTACTAAAATGGACATAAATTATGCATTGATGCAAAATTTGTTTTCAAATTAGGGTAAAGATCTTGCATGTATGAATAAAGAAAAAAAATGTATATATAAAATACAAGAGGAATTTTATAAGTTTATTTTATATAAGGAAATAGTGCGTAGGAAAGAAGCATGTTATTAAAATTTATGTTCGCTTTAAAAGTTTTGACATTCCAGATTTCTTTATATCAGTTTTCTGGAAAATGTTAAGTAATCCATCATTAGTTTTACATTTCATTAGGAATATTCTTTGTATAGAGAATTTGAAACTGTGGCAGATTGCAGTTCCATCTCTTATTTCAGGGATCTCTAACCTTTTTGTCCCAAAAAGCACATTCTAGAGTATTTGTTGGACAGTGGGCACCATTAGGTGAATTTATAGTTGGATAGAATTAATAATACATGCACTTAATGTGCAAAAAACTAGGTGAATCTTCGGATTATGGTAACTTGGCGAAACTGGCGACCAACCCTCCTACGGCAACCTGCTAGTTTTTTTTTTACTCAACATTTTTTCCGACAATCTGCTAGCTAAATTACGCTTATGCTAGTACTTTTATGGAACAAAAGTGCTTAATCATGACGAAGATTAGATGCAAAATTGGGAGAAGGTGTAGAATCGCCCTCTGCTTGCCGCGTTTTTAAGAATTGCTTATAACTGTATCCATGTACACGTGGATCTATTTTCACTTAAAAAAAATCCCAGAATTGCACAAAAATGGCATTGCACACACTCTTGACTTTATCCATGTACACGTCGACCTATTTTCGCTTAAAAAGTCAAAGAAAATTGACAAAAATCCAATTCTTCTTACTCTTGTAAAAAGCGCCGAACAAATAAGTGGGTGATTCTGCACTTTAGCAGCGAAATTGTTTCTAAGTGCTTATTAGCTAAAATCCCAATTGGAATTTTCCGGAAAATGTCACATTACATGTCTCATGATCTCTCATTTCTCTAAGACAAAATAATCTGTGATTCGAACTGTGTACTTCTCAGATTATTGCTAAAGTCCTATCTAGTAACCTTTATCGCCTTACCAAAATGTCACCAAACTACCTGTTACATATTTCAAAGATTAGCCAAAAACTATTTAATTCCAAAAATAAAACTTAACATCTAAAAATTATTGTTATTTCATTAAAAATGAGAAAACTTTCACATACAATTTTATTGAAAACTAAAACATTATTAGGTAAAAATATATGTACAGTTGACCTTTGGCGGTACATGGACATAGAGTTTGTGTAATTCTTTAATTTGTTAGTTTGGCTTAGTGTAGCAGCGATTTTATAAGTCAAAGAATTGCACAAACTCGGTAGCCATGTGCACATCGACCTATTTTTCACTTAAAAAAAATAATAAAAAATCGGAGAATTGCACAAACTTGCCATTGTGCACTCCCTTAACTTTCTCCATGTACACACTGATCTATTTTCATTTAAAAAGTCACACCCAATTCTACACTAGAGACAGACAAAAAATATTTTATCTCAATAAACTACATTTTAAATCAAACAATGAAATAGCATAAAAAAGGAAATTCTTCTTGGCATTACAAAAAAGAAATATCCACTTACCTTATTTAGAAATTTCTGTGTCTTTAGTCAAACAAAATTCCTTAACAGCATCCAAAAACTTCCTAAAATTATCTGAACTAGAATCCATATACTGGCATCGCCACAAAAATAAGAGTCAATAATATCCTCCATAGCAGGTATTCCCTGACGTTCGACCATATGCATTTCCTTTGTACAAACAGGACATTTATAATGGCTATTAAGTAAACCTTCATTTACACACCAATCAATTAATGCTTTTTTTCCCTTTCATTCCAATTCGTACAGAAATTCGAATTAATATTGCTGCAGACATTTTACTGTGTAAACCTCAAAATAACCAACGTACTCCCTAACCAACATCCAACACACAAATCTTTTACCATCATTCAAATTCACCGCAGTCATGCAACCAGTTATGTCATAATAGAGTTTCCATAACATTCAACTGCTCATGTTACCATAAATGAAACAACTGAGCAATAAACCAAGGGGCACCCTTAAATATACTCTAACCCATTTTTATAGTGATCGCACAGATGATCGGCAGGCGCCATGGTGTCTATGGGCATTTTAGGGTTGGGAACCCGTCTTATATAACGTACCTAATTATCCCTAGCTTATTTGATATAAATTGCCTAATTATTATACTGCATTCCAGAAGTTTAAAATTGGAAAAATTGGTAATTCTATAAAATTTCATTTTACCTCTGTACAGTTCTTCACAATAGTGGGTAGATTACACTATATGATTATGAATCTTCATTGTAAATCAATGATTGATAATGTTGGATGTCACTTCATTTCAGACTGCTCTTTTTTACGTATGTAGAGTTTGTCACAATTTGAGAGTTTGTTTTCGCATCTTTCAATGTTTAGTCTAATTAACAGTTTTTAGATTGCATTTTAAATGATTGAATTACTATCATGTCTAGAAACTGTAGTTCATCTTTATAATTTTAGTATCTCAATTTCTTTAAGCTGCTTGATTTTTTTTCCTGTGTGGATTCTTATCCCTTTGTGGACAATTGCCATATATATACATGGCAATGCAAATGCATACCATATGGTAAATGCTATGCATACTTGACATAAGACAAATCGGTAAAAGTATATTTATGAGAACCCCTTGGCGATTTTTGGTGGTACATGGATAACGAGTTTGTGCAATTCTTTGACTAGTTATTTTGGGTTGCATAGTGGCGATTTTTTCACGAAAAGTCACCACCGCCACACAAAGCCAAAATAATAAGAGAAAAAATTGCAAACTCGGTATCCATGTACACATCCACCTATTTTCACTTTAAAAAAAATCCCAGAATTTAACAAAAATGGCATTATGCACTCCCTTGATTTTATCCATGTACACAGTGACCTATTTTCACTTTAAAAAAAAATCGGAGAATTGTACAAAATAGGCTTTGCGCACTCTCTTGAGTTTGTCCATGTACACATCGAACTATATTCACTTCAAAAGTCAAAGGGGCAGCCAACAAAAAAAAATATATCTCAAAAGCCTGCATTTTAAATCAAACAATGAAATAACATAAAACAGGAAATTCATCTTTGCACTACACAAAGGAAATATCCACTTACCTTATTTACGAATTCACACATCTTCAGTCGAACAAAATTCCTTAACAGCATCCAAAAACTTCCTAAAATTATCTGAACTAGAATCTGTATACTGGCATTGCCACATAAATTCGCAAAATAAGAGTAAAAAATATCCTACGTAACGACGTTTGGCCATATGAATTTCCTTCCTAAAAACAGGACACCTAATAATATTTACTAAGTAAACCTTCACTTACACGCCAGTCAAGTAACGCTCTTTTCCCCTTTCTTTCCAAATCTTACAGAAACTTCGAATTAATCTTATCACATTCGGCCATTTTACCGTCTGAACTATAAAACAAGCAATATACTTTCTAACCAACACACACACAAGTGCTTATGAATTTACCACAATGATGCAATCTATTACGTCTTAATAGAGTTTCCATAACATTCAACTACTCAGGCTACCAAAAATGAAACAATGACTTAGCGATAATACAAGAGGTACCCTTAAGTCAACTTTAACAGATAAATCAGTTATGGTGGTCTCTTCCTGGATAGCTACATCAGCAAAATACCTGTTCCATTCACAAAGTATTTCTTACCTGTACATATTTTAGATCGATCATGTACAGCAGTTAGATAAGCAGAAGGTGTTTACACTGAAGAGCCAAAACATTGTACCCACCTAATTAATAACATGTTGTGCGACCTTTGGCTTGCAAAACAGCTGCAACTGCTTGGATGTTACAATTCTTGGTAGGTGCTGAAGACAAGTTGTACCAAATGTCTAAGCAGTGTGCAATTTTAGTCTTGTGACATGGGGCATCCGTTGTCTTGCTGGAAAATTTAGTTTCCAGTTGGGAAGACAAATGCCATGTAAGGATATAACTGATCTGAAGTTATGTTCAGATAGTCTGTTACTTTCATGGTCTGTTCTACCACAACTAAGGTTCCCAGAGCCAAAGCATAATACCACCACCACCAGCAGCCTGTATATGGCTTGCTGTACATGGGGGGGAGTGACTGTTCGCATGGAAGACGCCATACCCTGACACGATTATCAACATCAGGAATGAGAAATCAGAATCCATCCGACCAGGCAAATGTCTTCCACTTATCCATTGTCCACTCTCAATGTTTCTGGGCCCACTGTTGGTATAGTTGACAGTGACACTGGGTTAACAGAAGTACATGAGGTGGACACCTGCTGTGCAGTCCCATATTCAATGGTGTCTGCTGAACTTGTGTGTTCTGAAACACTTGCACTAGGACCTGCATCGTATTTGGCTGCCAGGCTGAGTCACAATTTTGCTGTACCAAGCAGGACAGTCTAGGAAATCCTTTTATTTTTGATGATGCATGGACGTCCAATACCTTAGCATCTACTGCTGGTTTCACTATCATTTATCCACTTTGCATAAATATTAACAATGGTAGATCGTGACAACCTACCAGTCATGCAGTTTTGGAGATATTCATTGAGAGTCTTCGGGCATTACAATCTGCCATCTATCAAATTCACTTGGATCAGCAGCCTTTTCCCGTCACTCGTAAAAGTAAAAATTCCTTACCTTCTCTAGCAGCAGTTAAATATCATTTCCACTTAATCACATGCCCTCCACGTCATCCAGACAAGTTCATTGAAAACTGTGAGGATGTCGTAATGCTTTGGCTCGTCAAGTGTATTGTAAATTCTTTTTGTTAATTGTTGGTTATATTTTTATAACTGGCATTCAAGAATGGAATACTATATTAATATGTAATTCTGTTTACTCTTTCTAGCTCCTGAACAGTCTAATGTTGATACTGCTAAGGAAAATGCTGAAGGTAAACACATAGGTTATTTAGTTTGGTATTTTTAAGTCCTTTGTCATAGAATATATTATCATTCATAACAGTTAATTTGTAAAGTTATGTATTTTATGATTTAATCATTCCATTGTAAAATAAATAAATAGTAATTAAACTCATTGATGTCCCATTGATATGTAATTTCCACTGCTATTGAAATGGTACCATAAAATGTCATTTTTAATAAAATTTTTGTGCAGATTGTAAAGGAATGTATGTGGCAAATGTAAAAAATTACAAGACTAAGACATTTTGAATTATCCTGTTAGCTTGAATCATAATGTCTAAAAACGTAAAATAGTATAGTGTGTGTATAGCTCTGCTCTTCATGCTTTGGCATATTATGTAGCCTTTAATTAAAAAAAAAAAAAAAAAATACAGAAGTAAATTTCAAAACTTACTGTAGTGCAGTATGCAGCAAACAAGACATGGTAGATATGTCTTGAACATATTTCCAGAATAAAAACGTTGATTTTTTTTTTGTTTTTATTTGCATTGCTTTGTTAATGATAGTTACGCATAGGATGCTTTATTAATTAAGATCTCACAATTATATACCTATGACATTACAGTAATGCTTATAGGTGCATAGCATGTTGTATATTAGATCATCTATTCTATTCTGGGGCTATTTGGTACATAGGTGTTAATTTCAAATCAGACAGGTTATATTTGCATCGCAAATGAAGTTACAGTACAGATAGTCACATGCAAGTTTTTAAATTTTCCTTATAAATTCAAGAAAAACTTAGAAACCAATAATGAACAGAGAATCATTTTCTGCGTAATTTTCTATATTAATTTTTATTCAATCTAAATTGTTTTAAGAACTTTATAAAAGGGGTTGTAAAGCATTTTTTGATGGTAGGAAATTGTTTACATTTAACATTGTTACAAGCAACTTGTATCTAACTTCATTTAAAATATATAAATGATGCATTGCTAAGTTTTAATAAAATATTAATATAGATTTGTTGAGAAGTAATATGATTAGTTTATTTTGTTAATTTGTTTTCCTGGCTAGATCTTATCCTGTTTTTGATAAGAACTGCCATCTACTTACTGTTAGTGTGCAAGTTAACATGCGTCAAGTGATAGTTCATGTTAGACTGAATTATAATGATTGTAATGCATGGTTGAAAATCATAAGTTCATTTCTTTTCACATGTATTTTATGCATTAAATTTTGGAATACTTTCTTCCCTGTAGGTATTCAGACAGAGAAGAAAACCAAGCCTCCTCCATTAGATGTAAGCTTTTATGTGTATACATTATCATTATATGCTGATAAAATTGTTTCATAAGATCTGAAATAATTCTAAAGTATGTTTCTCGTCCGAGTAATAACATTTTTTAAGCTAATTTTTTTCTCCTCATGGTATTTATAAAAAAAAGTTTAGAGAATAGCAGAATAAATATTGATATGTAAAAATATTTTCATAATTCTGGTAAATTGGGACAGTTCATAGTAATAGAGGGACCGGAAAGTAATGTCGTTTCTGCGCATGTCGACAACAACATGCTAAGAGCAGAAGTGGAAGCAAATTCATTTCAAACACTCTTAACCAACCTTGGTCGACCATCCAAGAACATTTAAAGCAGAATGGAAAAATAAGCAAATCAGGTGTTTTAAGTCCCCCATAATCTGTCCGAAAAGAACAAAGCCAGCCTATTCATCACGTGCAACGTATTGCTTCAACGGCACCATACAGAGCCGTTTTTGATCGTTTGACTAGTGGAGGCAAAAAAATAAGTCTTATATGATAATTCAAAACTCAAAGGGCAGTTTTAATAGAGGTTTACAAAGGGTTTACATCCCAAAAAGGCGCTTCTGGGTGTTTGATGGAGTATTCACGTAATTGTTCATTTCGAATTGCTGAAACCTGGAAAAACTGTTAATGTATACCTTTATTGGGAACAATTGGATCTAGTGAACCAATCTTTAATCGAAAAATATCTGGCGATTGTCAACGGAAAGGCGTCATTCTGCAACACAACAATGCAAGACCACACTGTGCAAAACAAACTCTGGAAAAATTGTAATGAATTGGGGTGGGAGATACTGCCTCACCCATCATATTTGCCCGATATTGCACCCTCGGATTTCCATTTATTCCGATTCCTACAACATTTTCATAGTGACAAAAAATTTGAAAATTTGGGTGATGTCCAAAATGTCCTCTCGAGATATTTTACTCGAAAACCAATTGATTTTTATCGGTCTGGCATTGAAATCGGCATACTAGATGGCAAAAGATTGCTGATAACGAGGGTGATTATATTATTCATTAGAAATAAAAACTTGTTACAAATTTATTCGTTTGAATTTAATGTAAGAAAGCGACATTACTTTCCGGTCCCCCTATTATAATATCTGCTTCAGTTATGCGTGTTGCGATTTTAAAATTTTAGAAAATGACATTTTTGGACTGGTAAAATTTTTAAACTGTCGTAAACTATTTATTCAAATGAATTATGTAACATAGAATAAAGCTAAGCTATATTATAATTTTTATATTTAAAACTTCAGTTTACCTTAAGTACCAGGATGTGCAATATTTTTTACTACGTACTTGTTATCTGTAAAAACTTCTATCTGTGCTTCTTAAATAAAAACTATGCTTTTGTGAAAATGTTTCATGTTAAATGTCTGTTGTAAATTATATATATGCACACACTTGCTTTTCTGTTTTATTCTCCAGAGGTATTGAAAATGTATGTTCGTGGAGTATTAACTCTCTGAGCAGCATAACCGGTTTATTCTGATCATGAGATTTTTTGTCATTTGGTATATATTGGCTTGTAATTAATTTCTTACTTTCTATAATATTATAAATGTCATCTAGATGAATGTACGCTTATGAAACTTATTATGGATACATTATCTTTCAACTAAAACTTTAAGTGAATTATGAGCCAAACAGTTGTCTACAATCAGGACTGTTTTTGAGTCGTCAGGTAAACCAACCGAATTCAAATGTTGCCGATCTTCGGGTATAAAATGATTTTCAAACCAATCATTCATTAACGCTTGAGTCATCCATGCTCTTTTATTTGCATGTATAGAATGGGGAAAATCGTTACTCCTTTAAATGCTCAATGTCGTGCATGTTTTTCGATCACAAAAAAGTTTGCATTATAAAGAAATTCTCATCCCTTAATTTTGCCGCTCGTGCTTCCCCCAAATTCCAAAAATTTTGTCTTCCCTAACTTGTGCCGACATATTCTGTTGCCGCTTCTCTGTTTATGGTGAATAACATATCAGTTATTCTTAGTTAAAATAGCACTAATTGTAATCTTTTGGCTTATTATAATGAGTTTCATTAGCAAAATCTATTTTTAGCATATGAAAAGAAATTTTTCCTCGTGAACCTTTCTTAGAGCATTTAAAAATCTATAATTATCGCCAAGCGTAATGTAAGCATAAAAGGTTGACATACTCTTGTTATTCAATTACTAATATTAAAAAAAAGTTTAGACATCACTACATGAGTTATTACTGAAGCTGTCATATATTGATAAACATGCAGTAATGAAAGCAAAATATAATAAATAATGACTCGTCAGGGCTATAAAATAGGTGAATGTTTTGGTTCAAGATGTATGCCAAGCAGACACTCAGAGCCAAATTATTAATCTCACAAATTTATGCGTACATGATTGTTTTTCCATAACAAGGTATTTTATTTAGTGCCTAAGTGAAATTAAGAATCAGAATAATTTTTAAGTGAAAATCTCCACATATTTTATTATGGAAAAAAAAAAAAAAAATGCGCATGCGTAACCAAAAAAAAAAAAAAAAAAAGCGTGGCTTTGAGGTCCAAATTTCAGATCATTCCGGATAATGGACATCCAGATTTTGGACTTTGTACTGTGTTCTTTTATAGGAAATTAAAATTCTAGCATCCAAAATTTAAATTATTCCCTGATTAGCTATCGAGCTTAAATTTTGAACCCATACTCATTGTGGATGACAATACAATGTGGTAAAGCGATATTTTTCCTCTCGAAATTAGATTTAATTATTTTTTTATTTAATGCTGGAATGGTTTTCTTACTCTTTGTTTAATAAACAAAAACTAAAAATTTAACAATTTGTACCATCAGATAGTGTAGGTGGAAAATATTTTAAATGGTGTTTATATGAGATTTTCTTATTTTTTTTGACAAAATCACTGAATTTTTTTCCAACCATTTGATGTAGCAGATTTGTTGGAAGTGAAAAAGTGATCATACATTGTTGAACAGTGATTTAATTATTGAACAATTTGATTGGTAAGATATCATTCAGACCCGTGATGTACCTATGGGGTGCAGAAGGCCATATGCATCCCTCAGTATTTTTTCGTGCATTAAAAATTCAAAAAAATTACAATTATCATTATTTTGTTAATTTTTTATTAAAGGTCTTTTCGAATTGCCTTATCCTCTAGTTTCTATCTTCTCAAAAGAAATCATATATGCACGTTTCATTACTGCTTATCTCTATTATTCACTGAATTGTGAAAGAGCACGTATTGTAACGATCAAGGTAGTGAATGTTGGAAGATGACTGAATATGAGTTAAGAAGTTACTATTCACATTGTTAAAAGCATGCTTCAGGAAGTGATGAAGGTACGTCAGTCAAATGATCCAAATTTAAAATGCATTGAAGGATCACGGAAAGCTAGCTAAGTTTATGCTGATAACCTCTGAGTCGAACTCAAAGTTCCAGTTGAGATCTGAATTTGCCAAAATTGCCCTTGAAAAAACAAAAAGTTAGGAAGTAGAAACTTTAGTTCCTTTAGAATCCCAGACCCCAATGCTTCAGCAATGTTTCTACCTTTCTTGTTGAAGAGAAAATATCAGTATGCTATTTTTAGTTTTCAATACTTCTTTAACCATTTTTCTTGCCATTCATTTTACAACAGTTCTGAATGTAATTTGGTAGTTTGCTAAAAGAAGTACATTCATTTCATCTTTTCTTTAGACTTGAACTATCATTGACTTCCAGTGTTTGTCAAATTAATGTCAAAGGGACAATTAAAGAGCTTGAAAAACAACATTTATTTATTTGAAATTTTGCTACAAACTTGGCAAGACTTTCACTGAGGCATTTCAGTTTCTTTGCCAAGCGTATGGGGAGGACTCTATGAGTCGCACACAGTGCTACAAGTGGTTTAAGCATTTCAAACACAACAGACTGTCAGTTGGTGACAATCCCAAACTTGGATGACTTCACATCAGCAGATGATGGTAAACAAGGAAGTATACCAGGGGAGTCTAGAGTGACTGGGAGATGCTATGTGCAGGAAGAAGCCTGAATTGTGGGGAAAACCAGACTAGGGTGCTGCATCATGATAATGTGCTGGCTCACATGCTGCATTTTGTCCACATCTATTTAGCAAAACAATACACTGCAGTTGTGCCTCATCTGCCGTATTTCAGACCCAGCAGACTTTTTTCCTATTTCCCAAACTGAAAACCATGTTGAAAGGACATCATTTCAAAACCAAAGAGGAAATTCAGGACAATGCGACAAGAGACCTGCATACTATCCCAGAAGGTAAATTCCTGGAAACATTCAAGTATGGAAAAAATAATGGGAATGGGGTATTGCCAGTATAAGAGACTACTTTGAGGGGGACAGGGTTTAAAATGTTGTACAGTAAGCAGTAGGGATGTTATAGTAAAAGTTTCTTTTCTTTTTAATGCACCTTATGTAACCTTTTAGGTTATGTGTCAGAAAATCCACTACCTGCGTGAAAAGCTAGGAATGTCAGAGGATCCACACCAAATGGGTGTCCAGAATGTTGACAGCAGAAATGAAAAATATCATTTTGTTTGTCCTTGAAAGCTGCTTTCCATGACAGATACCAATAAAACTATTTATGGCTAGTGCAGAAGATGAAACATGGCATCAGCACTGGACCCAGAAAGGAAACAGCAGAGCATGGAAACAATCCTCCTGTATTGAGTCCAGAATCCAGAGATCTGATGGGAAAATTTTGAGCACCATTTTTATAAGGGGGCGGGTAAAAGACAGACCAGTGTTTATGGATTATATTGTAACAATTGCATTCACCTCCCTTAATAAATCGTTTTATTAGATGACAGATTAAACTTTCCAAAATTTAAGTAAAATTTAATTTTTTTAAGGTCAGAATTTGAATGTGAATGACCAAAAAAGTATAAAGATTCAGGTTTTCATATTTCAACTTCTTTTTTAGCTGCTGTATTTCAAAGTTTGTTAAGCATGTTAATTTCTAG